TTCAATATTAGAAGTGATGTTCATGTTATGTAGTAATGCAGTCACGTCGGACACTGTCCTAAGAAGACACGAGCATTTAAATTCCACTAGCATAGCAATAACGGAGGACTAGCTGTCATGTGCTCTATTATCAGCCATTGCAGAAGCTTTAAAAATATGCCACAGTTCTGAAATCTATGGCTAACCAATCGTTGATAACTGCTCTGGTAGGGATTTATGTATGAATATGTCTCTGCAGTGGACACTTTAGTTACAAGCATTTCTGACAAGCTCTGTGGCCTATGCCAGTATTCTTATCCGTAAAGAGAGAGCATGATGATGCATCATCATCGTGCGCAAATTCTGAAGTACAGATGACGTTCAATAAACTCTGAAAGCGGAAACCGCTTGAGGTAGATGGTTTATCTTTGAGTCCCCAAAACAACAGTAAAATTTATTTTAATTTTTTTATATGCCTAGTACAGTATAGTTAATATTCATTGTGCTTATATCAGTTATCACTGTTCAAGCTGTTATACTCAAATGATTGATGAAAACTGAATAAACATGTCCTGGGGCAGATATGCACTTTCTAAAGTTGTTCCATCAGTTTTGATCGCAGTATCTTTCTCGCAGACAAATATGATGCGAAGACATTTGTGCGCATGTGTTAGAAACTCTTATATCCTAAAGAAAGAGCATGCAGGGATTCCGAACCTAGGCGATTGCCACCATAATAATTACTGCACACTAATTATAATTCTCAGAACCCGTGACTGATGATTGTGATCTTTATCCCAACGTTTGACCGCTAGAACAGGGCGTCGTTTGATAATATTCTCCTCTCTTGTATTTCATTCACACGCAATATTTTCCTTTGATAATTGCCGCTCCTATGCACGTAAAGTCTCATTTGCCAGGTGCTTAGATGGAAGTATGGTTGGAAAACGTTCCTGAATATAGGATCTGACCACAGAATTCACCCATGCTGAACAGAATTACCAAGCATTCGAAACCTGCTGTTTAGTTACTGCCTGTATTTAGTATAGGAGACATCCCATTAGCTTTAATTAGTTCCAAAAGCAATTTGTATAAAGAATAATTTATTTCGAATGTTCAGTAATTCGTCTGATTAAGAATAACTCGTTAATGGTCTCCTCTTCTGTCACTATTTAATGTAAGTGCATGCAAATGAATTATTTAACAAAAATAGACAACAACACCATTAATTGACCTTCGTTATTTTGTGTGTATTCAAGACTAAGTTATAATGCTTCTAATACGAAGAATAACGAACTCAACGCTGGAACTAGTAGAATTTAAACACCGATATCACGCCATATGAAAGAAAAATAAGCAGAGGGCCTTAAATCTATCTTAAGATTCACTTGAGATGATTATCCAGTTAATTATAACCAGACAGTCGAAAGTGAGGCCTGCCTGTACACAAAATAATTTTCCTCCTCTCAGCTATTTAAGTATAAGAATCGTATATCGCCGTAGGCTAGTGGAGCCGTTTTTCTGATTGCAGTTGTGATTAACAGATATTGAATCACGATGTGGGCAGAGACCGAAAGCATAAATTTTCATGGAAAAGAAATTTCAGAGCATTTTAATTAAAGCAAATCAATTATCCAGTGAAAAATTAGCAGGATGAACTAATAAGCAGAAAAAAGTAATTTATCCATTATTTATTAACTAAAGGAGTGGATGCTTTTTAGACTTATTGGTTAAAGACATTGTGGCTAGCCTAACTTAGGTAAATTTACACAATAGCTAGGGTGAAGTTTGAGCGAAAGCACTTCAGGTGAATTCATTCATAATGCGCAAACCGACCTCTATTTCGATGTCACTGGGCTGAGAGTCATTCGTCATGGGATATTTTTTTATCACTTTAAATTAGCTGATTACGCATGGCACTTCAAAATTGGCAGAAACAAGTCTAACCGTTTTTATGTTTTCTTTCATAATGTTGTAGCGCTACTTTTTTTCAGAAACCGCTTTGCTCCATCACTGAATTGTTCTATTTTTCAAATGACCCATGTTCACTGTAGGTCAAAACAATATGTGATTTATCTTATATCAGGGTCACTTAGTTGAAGTATTATACAGAAAAAATCAACTTGATGTAGATTTGCAAACAAATCAGTCTTTTTATGCCTTAATCGGCAACTCTGTACTGTACAAGAAAAAGTTTCAGCGGTGCATAAACTTTTGACCACTTGAACACTGCTTAAGAAATGAAAATTTCATGTAGAAGAGTTAAATACCCTCCCTCATCGGTTCTGATCAAAACACTTGAAATTGAAACGCCAAGGGGTGAGACGCAGAGACGAGAAGTTGTTTATCGGTAGAAGTTGACTAAACAGCACCTTTTGCTTTTTACTGCCTCCAACTGTTGTTAGCTATATGGTGCAAAGTACGACTAGAAATCAGTATATAGGCACTGGTTCAGACTGCAGACCCTGACATCAGCCATCTCATAGTGATGAGCAGGAAATAACTCTGCTATTTCAATTGAAGTATGCAAATATACGATTGATTATGACGTGTTTTGCATCTCTAGCGTGCAAATCATGTGGTTGAAGCTTAACAAGAAGTGCATTAATATTGATAGATATTTTGTGTAAATCCTGAAAACCATAGTACACGTTTGTTGTTCGTCTGCGAGGTTCTAATAAAGGGTTACATGGTTGAGTGAAATGCGATACATTATATACTCTTTCGCTGCTACAGTAAGTACGAAGCTTTGTCATGAACCCGAAATAGTCAGTTGAACAGGGATAGTAACAGAAGCTGTTTAGCGTTCTTTTCTTTGGTATTTTAAAGTAGTTGTGTCTAGGAGAACAACATTGACTGCAACCTCGTACCAAAGAGCTACGGAGCTACCGTCGTCTCAAAGGAAGCAATGCCGATTTAGTTCATCACTCCATCTGTTCTCTAACAAGCGTATGCTAATTCATTGTTGTGATGAATAGACGATTTT